CATTTCAAAGAATCAAAATCAAATAAGCGTTTAATCAAGATATTTTGTTTGGAGTTTTTATCCATTTCGAAATTTTGTATTTTGTGAAGGTGTGGACATCCAAAGCCACTGGGTTTGGATAGAAAAGTATGATTTTTTTGGTCGGATTTGGATTTGGCCCAGTTAAGGATAGGATCAACAATAATACTAGGAATTTAGCCACAAAATTTAACAAAAGAACTAGGATAAGAAATTGGACCAATTTTGTACCACTTTCTGCTTATAATTCTGATGTTGAACTCTCATTTATATAGATGAAAAAAATAAACAATTTTTGCAGGTTGTTGATGTACATAATGCACATTGTTGTGTAAGCAAACAATGCACATTGGCCACTCAGAAATTTGCTAAGAGTGTGTTTGGTATGGATTTTTAAGGGAAAAATTGATTTTTGAATAGTAATATGATGGGAAATGTATGGTTGAAAAAGAAGAAAAAATTATTGATGTGATGAAAAATATTATTTTATTGAAGAATGTGTGGTTGAAAATGAGAATTGATTTACTATAGAAAATGAAAATATGTACCAAACANGAATTGATTTTTGAATAGTGATATGATGGGAAATGTGTGGTTGAAAAAGAAAAAAAAATATTGATATGATGTAAAATATTATTTTATTAAAGAATGTGTGGTTGAAAATGAGAATTGATTTACTATAGAAAATGAAAATATGTACCAAACATGTCCTAATTAATATAGATTTTAGTGACAAGTTGAGCACGCAAAATGAGAAGAGAGGTTTCTGGTGGTTAAATTCGAGTATTTCAAATACCGGAATCATTCATCAAACTTCGGGTACTTTGTAAATTGAATTATTCGGTTTCATGTAATTTATGGAAACTTGATGTTTTGGAGAAGTTTAGTTCCATTTAAAATATCCACCCTTTGATATAATGCTGAAACAAGATGATTGACAAAGTTTCACGTGCCTTTCTTCCTTGATCAAGGATAATCCAACATGCAAGTATATCCGAATATGGCCAAGGGCACATACAAGATCTCAATACGACATCTTATATCTATTTCGTTCCGTCAAGAGAAATATTACTTCTCCGACCAGCTCGAGAGGTGCATAAGACATTCTGCCTTTAGCTTTAGCTTCGACATAATCACAAAAACGCAAGAATTAGCAAATATCCTACAAGAGTCTAGCCTTCGAAAAGGTAAATCCAGTAACTCTTTAACTCTTCCATTGAAACAAATAAATGATTTACCTATACCTTCGTACAGAAAGCATGATCACAAGGAGGTTTTATCGATGTGATTTGAAGCATCACAAGGAAATTGGGTTTGTTGACCTCGTTTTTTGAACTGTTAATGCGGACAATATATACCGGGCCAATCATATCAACACAAGCCATTTCCACTACGTTTGGACAAATTACTAGTCGATGATATTTCGAATTTGAATGTAGAAGAAACTTTATAACACGAGACAAATATGTTCAGATGCCAGCAAGATATATGAGCAAAATCGTGCGATAAGGAATGATCAACAAAAACCAAACTAAAAATCAAGATCAAGCATCTAACTTCCTTAACCAAAGATTTTACTCAAGAGGAGAGTATATAGTATTTGCATTACACCAAATGATACAAAGGAAGGAATATTTATAGTATTGAATGTGAAATGTTGTCCATTGAATAAGGAGACACGTGACCTCATATCTTTAATTGAAGTATCTTATTCTAAGCATCAATTTTGACCCAACTAGCATGTGGTACATTAAATGCTCTAAAAAAAGGACAACCACCTTATAACCTATGTTAACAAGATTTCGAAATATTACTCACTACATGAGCCAAATCAATCATTCGAACAAGATTTCATAATTTAGAATCTTCAAAGGTGGATCGTCACTCGTCAGAGATTCGGATTTAACCTCGTTGAGCCTCACCACTTCGGCAGAGGGGCTTCGACAGGTCCATTTTATGAAACTGCTTCGATGAAAATGGACTTCGATAGGTCCTATGTGCTCCATGAGTGATGACATGTGGCTTCGACAAAATGGGTTTCGGTGGGTTGGTTGCAATCCTCCTGGAATGCCAAGTAGGCTTCATGTGGGAGTTTTGGTGGCGAGGCGTAACAAGGTCTATTCTTCCTTGATGCTCAGGTAGCTTGACATGGTAAACCATTTGTATAAAAACACAGACTAGAGATCATGATTTCTCAACCAAGCGATGCACCTATTTTGAGATGTTTTCACAGCAGATTAGCTCCTGTACCTAAGTTGGAACTGCATTTCCTTTTGCAACATCATAAATCGAATCCATTCAATACTAGAAGTTCCTTCACCAGAAAAAGCATTCCCAGAAGAGGAATGCCGACTGAACAGTTAGCAAAGTTACCCTTTGCTAGATGGAACACTACTCAAGGCCGCCTCGGATAAGTCCAAGTTCTTGACATCTATTTCACACTGAATAAAGGTACTCAAATAGGGGAAATTGACAATGTTTGGTGACAGGAGTTGTGTGGCAACACTTGTCTTGCTGCTTTATTTATTTATTTGAAAAAATGACACGTTTGCCCATATTTTAAATTTTGTCAGTGAACCTGTTTATATGGAAAATGCTATTCTTCCAGAACTATTCACTTACAGAAGATTTACAGAAAACATAGTTTCCAAAAATACCCTTATATATTTATTTCCACAATCAAAGCCCTTATAAATATTAAAAACTTCAAATTAGTCCCAAAAGAACTATGAGTGCAAAATTTATTCCGCTGACTCTGTACACTCTGGTATAATTGGTATCAGAGCTT